AGTGTGAAGTTTGTGTGTGTGGGTCGGCCTATACAGGGGGGTGGGTGGGTGGTTTCATTTAAAGTCTAAATGTTAAAGGCTGATTTTTGCAAGATGGATGGCAAAAACCCCCACCCAGTTTTATTCGGAGCTGCACCACCAAGGCCAGGATATTAGACACCATTGATGGTGGCAACCTGCTTTGAAAAGAAAGGCGACCAGGTGTAATCTAAAATCTTTCCCCTAACCCAAAATAATAATTAAAAAGAACAAAAACAAAACAAAACACAGAAACAGCGATGCAAAAGAGGCGTTAAGACATAAGCAGGCAACAGGTGTTTTTTTTTTTTTTTGAAATCACAATAGCACAGTGTTCCTGCAGATTGTCCTTCAGGAATTTGGCGGGAGAATTCCCTAAAAGCTTGGGAGAAATCCTTCTGCAGAAACAGAGTGTTAATTTCACTTGATCCCCTCTCCCCCCCTTTTTTAAAGTGGAAATTGGACAGCAGAGAATTTATTTAAAACCAACGGAAGGTATATCCCCTTAGCCCAAACTGTTTTTTCCCCCTCCTCTCTTTCTTTCTCTTTTTCGGTGCAAATGTGTAGAAGAAGTTAGAAAGGAATTAGCAAAGGCTTTCCCTAGATCAGGGGTCTCCAAATTTGGCAACTTTTGTGGACTTCAACTCCCAGAATTCCCCAGTCAGCATGTTTGGCTGGGGAATTCTGGGAGCTGAAGTCCACAAGTGTTAACCGAATGACCAAATAGCAGAGTTGAAAGGGGCCTCGGAGATCTTCTAGTCCAACCCCCTGCTCAGGCAGGAGACCCTACACCAGGGATAGGCAACCTTGGTTCTTTTATGACTCGTGGACTTCGACTCCCAGAATTCCCCAGTCAGCATGGCTGGCTCAGAAATTCTAAGAGTTGAAGTGCACCAGTTATAAGAGGGCCAAGATTGCCTACCCCTGCCCTACACCATTTCAGACAAATGGCTGCCCAATCTTTTCTTAAAAACCTCCAGTGTTGGAGCATTCACAACTTCTGGAGGCAAGTTGTTCCACTGATTAATTGTTCTGTCAGGACATTTCTCCTTAATTCCGAGTTGCTTCTCTCCTTAATTAGCTTCCATCCATTGCTTCTTGTCCTGCCTTTGGGTGCTTTGGAGAACAGGTTGGCAGCTTAAAAAGTTGCCAACATTGGAAACCCTTGCCTAAAATTGTTTTGATTCTGTGCAGCGTACTGAGGGGAATCTGAAAAGAATGGCCTGCCATTATCCCGCCACTTATGAAATTCTAGATACCTCCCTCAGTATCAGGGTTTAGACGAGATAGGGAAGAAAAAAAATCCTCAAGGTTTTCTCAGGTTTTGGAAGGGCAAAATGCCAGTGGATAAATAAGTGGTTTTTTAAAAAATATTAAAAAAAATAAAAACTTGATCCAATAAAGAAAACAGAAGGAATACTAGGGTGGAAATGGATTTCATTTAGAGCAGGGTTAATCAAATTTGGCAACTGTAAGATGGGGTTGGCTTAGCTGCTAGACCCAAATGGCATCATCTATCGCTTATTTCACATTACAATCAGAAGGAGAATCCTTGCTTATTAGGAATCCAGCTGAATAGCATGATTAACTATGATCTGTTCTAAAGAATTCTAGGTTTCTTCAAACCAACGATGGCTTCCTACAAAAATGGGGCTGTTCTCTGCTAAATTAGGACATACAGCAACTCACTTATTCAGCAGAAAATTAAAATAGCCAATTATCCACATGTCTTCTTGCATTGGGAGTGTTCTACTGCCCTAATGTCACCATCTTAATGGGAGTTCCTCTGCTGGTGTCTTAATAATACTTCCTTTATGCCACAATCCCTCAGAAAGAAGACTAGCTTGTATTAAGAATAATTCTTTGCAATGTTTCCTAAAAGGTCTTGAGGTCTAGGATGATGGTCAAGATTTAGAACGGAGGTGTCCAACCTTGGCAACTTTTAAGACTTGTGGGCTTCAATTCCCAGAAGTCCCCAGTCAACATGGCTAGCTGGGGAATTCTGGGAGTTGAAATCCACTAGTTTTAAAGTTACGAAGGTTGGACAGCCCTGGTTTACAAGCTTTATAATTCTAGGAACCCACTTTGAACTTGGTAAATAAAGGGAAGAAGGTGGGAAAGGATGGTGTGTGTGTGTATTGTTGTTGTGCGTGTGTCTGCATGTGTTTTAATGCCTGCATCCAGGCATCTAAGCATGGAATTCTCTGCATCTTCAGAGAAGGGACAGATGGTCAGAGAAAAGAAGAAAGAGGAAGAAAGAGAGAGGCAAAGAGAAAAAGATAGGGAGAGAAAGATAGGGGGGGGGAATTAAAAAAATAGTTGCGCCGGATTTCTCAGACAAATATCAATGACAACAAAAATCACACAGCTTTAACCTCTGCTTTTTCAGAATTTTAGAAAAATTTCATATTGTTCTTTTTTTTGTTTTTGGTACTAAAAGTTAAAGAAATGGGAAGAACAGCTGAGCATAAAATGGGATGTGGCACAATAGGAAAACATAAGGGGTTGGTTTGCCCAGCTCCTTCCTTCCTTCCTTCCTTCCTTCCTTCCTTCCTTCCTTCCTTCCTTCCTTCCTTCCTTCCTTCCTTCCCTCCCTCCCTCCCTCCCTCTTTCTCATCATCTATTGATCTCAGAGGTGTCCAATCTTGGCAACTTTAAGACTCTGCAAGTAATTTAGGATTAAATCTAGGGGTATCCACAGGGCATGGTCAAAAAAGTCAAAATGGCGGTGCTTCAATGGTGCAAACCAGGCTCTGATGATTTCTGGATTGAATCAGAATCATAAAGCTCGTAAAACGAATTACTCTACAAATCTCCACACACGATTTAACTTCACTCAGAAATGGGTCCTTCTGCCTCAGTTGTGAGTGGAAGGAACTACTTACAGTCAAGTGTCCCTCTGTAAGGGAGATGTGTGATTTCTAAGTAGGATATATTCCAAATAAATAAGTAAATATCGACCAAAACTAGATTAGCCAAACCAAGGTTTATTAAAAAGCAGTTAACCAAACCATGGGTTTATGTGACGTATATTGCCCAGCCTCCAGTGTTTACTTCCAGTTTCCAGCAAAAAATGCTCATTGGGGAAAACTGATTTACTTAAAGACTGCAGTGTTTATTTAAAAAAACGCTGAAAAATCAGGTCTGGTTGTGCGATGTCTCGACTTACAACCTCAACAACTTACAACTGTAATTCCAGGCTCAATTCCCGTCATAAGTCGAAGAATCCCTATATTTATTACGTTCATTTCAATGACTAGCTCTCCCTCTTCTCCCTAATAGAGTCTCTTAGATGAGATGGGCCTAAATCAGGGGTCTTCAAACTTGGCCCTTTTATGACTTGTGGACGTGCCTGGCTGAGGAATTCTGGGAATTGAAGTCCACAAGTCATAAAAGGGCCAAGTTTGAAGACCCCTGGCCTAAATAAATAAAATATCCCATGAACCTTTGCAACAAGAGGGTCCTGGCAAGGCTTCATCCCTGGGGCTAGCTCCTTCTCCCATTGGTCAGGGAGGAGGCAGGAAGCTATAGGCGCACAGCCACTCTGGGCCTGAAAATGCTGCCATGCCTTGGCTACCATAGAGCTTTGTTGGAGAGAGAGGCTTGAAGTCCCTGACGTTCTTTGTATTCGGCTCTTTTTCATGGAGGACCAGATAGGCAAAGAGCCTGATAGAATGTATGAATGGGAGTGAACATTGCAATGCAGGGCAGATTCTGTCTGGGATTGAATTTAGACACACACACACACACACACACACACACACACACACAGGGCGTTAATCAGCTGGGCAAATGGCCTCCTTATTTGTGTTCCTAAAACATACATCCCACTCCTTTCACTCAGCTAAGGGAACAAAGGCACATCTCCTATGCGTTGGTTTCAGAAAAACATTCAGAACTGTGTGATGTTTGTTATTTTTGGGTTGCAGGTAATTTCAATTATCAAAAGAAATGGAAAACGGGGTAGAATCGGAGGGGGGGGGGTACGAGGGAAGCAGGAACACTGGCTGTTTTTTTTTTTTTTTTGCACAATGCATTTGGAATAAATTGCAGCATAGCCGAACCAACTTAAAAAAAAAAATAAATACAACAAAAAACCAACGAATCCAAATAAAGAGAGAGAGAGAGAGAGAGAGAGAAAGAAAAAAAAAACCCCAAAGCAACTCAATCAATAAATAAAAAGAAATCGAGAACCAGGAAGGGATAGCTAGGAGGGAAGGGGGAGGAACTCCACTGAACGAAAAAAAAGAAAAGAAAAAAAAGGCAAAATATCTTTTTTTTTAAAAAAAATAAAAAAATGGATATAGATATAGATCGATATATATATACACGCACACGCGCACACAAATCGTTTGGAAAAAAAACTGAAACCAAATGGACGCTCTCCTCCAAGGAAAATTATTATTTTTAAATAATAATAATAATAATAATAAGAATGAAGCCGTAAAATTAAAAAAAAAATGTAAAATAAATAAATAAATAAAGGACCGGCATGCAAAGATCATTGTTAACATTCTCCTATAGTCATGCATCAGGCCCAAACGTCCATAAATAGGACAAAAAAGTGCACATACAACGCAGCAACGTTACCAAGGATGCAGGAGAGAGGCCCACAATGCAACTCAGCTCATCTCCAGCGAGACCCAAGAACGAGCGGATCTCGCCCGCCATCGATTATTTATTTATTTTTAATATATATATTTTTAATGACATCGACAAAGAGATTTTTCTTGCTTTCTTTCTCTTTCTCTTTCTCTCTCTTTTCTTAATTTTTTTTCCTTATTTTTTTATAATAGACATATTTGCCGTCGACAGAGCTTTTTTTTTAAAATCATCATCATCATAGCTGTTTTTTTATAAAAAGGATAGATTATAGATAATAGATAGATATAGATAGAGATATATATATATATATACTTCTCTCTTAAGAAATGTAAAAATGTGGGTAAAGAAAGTAAAAAAAGAAAAAAAACCACACCAACCTTCTCGTAGCTCTGAGGGATGTTAAAGGGGTTTGATGCGGAACACAATGACATGAGAAGAGAGAAAAAATAGGGAACACAGAGAGAGTAAAAAAAGGCCTTTCAAGGCTGGCAACTGCAAATCGATTTTTTTGCTTTTTTGTCTCTTTCTTTCCGTTTTTTAACTTAAAAAAATAACAAAAAAACTTTTTTTTTAAATAAAATAAAAAATCTCCAACATGTCCCTTTTCCTTCCGAACCATCGGGGCCACCACCAAGAAGGCCCTGCAATCGTGAAGGGTCTCTGGGGAGGGGGGCGCCTCATATCAACCAGATGTGCCAGTTTAGAGAAAGCCCCCCCCTTCCCGAGAATTCAGAAGCCCCTCTGGCACTGCTGGATGGCCCACCCCCTTCTCTCTCACGTCGCCCCCCCCGCAGCTGAAGGAAAGAAAGATGAATGAGGACAGTGTGGCACCCTGGGAGACGGTGTTCCCATCACCACCTCCGTCACCGTGAGGTCCTCATCGTTGGTTAGATCTCTTCCGTGATCCTCCAAAATATTTAAGGCAGGGCCAGTAAAATCCTGAGGGCCGTTCGAAGGCATGTCCTCATGGGCTTGGGATTCGCATCCTAGGAACTCAGGCTGCAATGGACCTGCCCAATTTGGGCCCGAGCTGGCCTAAAAAAATCACAAATGTTGACGGGAATCCTCCAATTTTGAATTTATTTTTATTTTATTTTTTATTTTTGGAGTGAGAGGGAGGGACAAAGCGATTTTCCGTGTCTTCGGATCAAGATCCGATCTTGCTGAATTGAAGGGGAAGACACTTGGTGGGAGCCCAGCATCCATAAGGACATGCTTCGAACACCGTTGAATTGTCTTCCCCGCACACACTTAACAGAAAAAAAGGGAGGAGGAGAAAAAAAAAAGCAGGGGGTGGAAAAACCAGACCTCTTTTGGAGAAATAAACCCCAAAGAAAAAGAAAAGGGGTGCTTTTGATTCCCACCACCACCACCCCCCTCCCAGCAAACCCCCAAAGTCATTAGAGAAACAACCGTGTTTTACAGGAAGAAACAGGAAAAAAAGGACGTCAAGACTTTTGGAGTGCAGTCACAACAAAGAGGGAAAAACAAGGCAGAGAAGACCTCTCCCACACACCCCCAAGCCCACCCATCATATCTGCCTCCCCCCACCCCTGAAATAGATCCAACCCCAATCAAACCAGCAAGCTTAATGGAAACCGGTCTCCATTTTAAACGGGGGCAATTGTTTCCACGACACCCGGGCCTTTTAGAAAAGGGGTTTAAAATAGAAGTGGCTCTTGTGTAAATTGTCTACCCTTTTCGGCTAATTTTGGGAGCGTCGAGTTTTTCGTTCCCCCCCCCATTGTAAGCATTCAAACACAAGTTTGTAATCCTCGTACGCCGCTTCTCACAGTTTCTCCTCACTACAGAATTCAAATTCTGCATGAATCCCAGAATCGGCAGCTCCATTTTAAGGGAGTTGTCATTTGTCGTTTTTGTCTCCGATGATTTTAAGGTCTTTTTAAAATGTTTGTTATGCTGTAAGCCGCCCAGAGTCATTGAAATGAGACGGGCGGCAAATCAATGTAATAAATAAATAAAAATAAGACGGAGACACTGTAACCAGGGGAGAAAAAACTTTCCTGCAGATCTGCCCCCAAAACTATATCTCATCCTTTATGACAGGGATCTGCAACAGTGACAACTTTATAAGACTTGTGGATTTCAGCTATGCTGCCTGAGGAATTCTGGGAGCTGAAAGAGCTGAAATCCTCAAGTCTTAAAAGTTGTCAAGATTGCAAATGCCTGCTTTACGGCAGGAAGCCGCAGTTCCAAACAGACATAAGTAACAGAAACCATATAGGCCTCCATATTATCATGACAAGAAACAGTAACAAATCCACTTTTTTAAAAAAAAATTGGCACTGAGGTCAAGGGAAGGGAAGGGGGGGGGGAAATCGGGGGAAAAAAACCCTGACATTTTCTGGAAAAACGTCTGAAGGCAAGTCTCCCACAACTTCATGATGGCCAGCCATGAAAAGAAATTTTTAAAAAAACATTCATGAGCCTATCAAATTGCTAATCTCTCTTTTCATGGGGGCAAGTAGGTTTTTTTGTGGGGTTTTTTTTTTTTTTTTTGAGGAGAGAGGGCTGAATAGCTGTTGAAGTTCCTGAAAACACCACTACTTTAAAAAAAACAAAAAAATCAAGGAGAGACATTCAGCCAGATATAAAAAAATAGGTTTGTGCAGGTGGAAAATTCACCGAACCAATTCAGATTGAATGAAAGCTGTCAATTCAAAATGTTGGAAGTTTGTGGTTATATCTCTGGGTAGGCTAGACCAGGGTGCTTTTATGACTCGTGGACTTCAACTCCCAGAATTCCTGAGCCAGCCACGCTGAGGGGAAAGGGAGAGGTTTCCAAGCTGAGCCATGTTGGCTCAGGAATTCTGGGAGTTGAAGTCCACAAGTCATGAGGGGGCCATAGCTCCCCCATGCTGGCTCAGGAATTCTGGGAGTTGAAGTCCACGAGTCATAAAAGAGCCAAGGTTGCCTTAGGGTAGGGGTAGGCAACCTCGGCTCTTTTATGACTCATGGACTTCAACTCCCAGAATTCCTGAGCCAGCCATGCTGAGGGGATATTTTTTCCCCTGGGGCTTAACGAGGCACCTTAGAATAGAATAGAGCTGGAAGGGACCATGGAGGTCGTCTAGTCCAGCCCCATGCTCAAGCAGGAGAACCTATACCATCTCAGACAAGTGATTGTCTAGTCTCTTCTTAAAAATCTCCAAGGGACAGGCGTTTTTGTGCTTGCAATAAATTTCCATCAGAGCCAGCCCCGCATTCTGCTACCAAAATTTCGTGCACAGAAGGTGAACGAACAAACTTGCAATTTATTGGGCCATTGAGATACCGAGTGTCCCCTGTGGAAGAGACGACTAACAGAATAACAGAGCTGGAAGTGGCCTATGAGGTCTTCTAGTCCAGAGCTTTTCAACCAGTGGTACGGGTACCACCTATGGTACATTAGCACCTGGCAGGTGGTACGCAAGCATCCTAGAAAAGTGGTAGCGAGGGAGGGGAATGAGCTGAACCAGTGGCAGCACCGCACAAGCCTGAGCGAGAGACGGCTGGAGCTGCAGGGCTGTCAGAACTTAGAAGAAATTTTCTGACAGTGAGAACAATTAACCCAGGGTCTTCAAACGTGGCCCCTTCATGACTTGTGGACTTCAACTCCCAGAATTCCTCAGCCAGCATGGGGGAACTACGGCCCCTTCATGACTTGCGGACTTCAACTCCCAGAATCCCTCAGCCAGCATGGGGGAACTATGGCCCCTTCATGACTTGCGGACTTCAACTCCCAAAATTCCTCAGCCAGCATGGGGGAACTATGGCCCCTTCATGACTTGCGGACTTCAACTCCCAGAATTCCTCAGCCAGCATGGGGGAACTATGGCCTCTTCATTACTTATGGTCTTCAACTCCCAGAATTCCTCAGCCAGCATGGGACTAAAGACTTAAAGACCCCTGAATTTACCAGTGGAACAACCTGCCTCCAGAAGTTGTGGATGTTCTATCACTGGAAGTTTTTTGTCTGAAATGCTATAGGGCAGGGGCCTATGCTGGCCAAGGAATTCTGAGAGCTGAAGTCCACAAATCTTAAAGCTGTCAAGGCTGCAGACCCCTGCTATAAGGTTTCCTGCCTCAGCAAGGGGGCTGGACTAGAAGACCCCCCAAGGTCCCTTCCAACCATGTTATTCTATTAAGCGAGCCGAGAGGGGGTTTATTGGCTGCCTTTGCAATTGCGGAAAGGGGTACGAAGAGGGAGTGAGCCCTGGCTAGATCAAATTCTACAAGAAGTCACAAGGATTCGAATCCGCCTCTCTCCTGCACTGCTTATTTTATATTTTAATTAAGACCCTTGGAAGGATGACATTCATCTTCAAAGGCTCCCCTACACATTTCAATGAGGGACTGAATTCTTCCCATTTTCAGGGAATCCTCCATTTACGACTGTTCGTTTAGCGAACGCTCAGAGTTACGACAGTGCTAAAAAAGTTGACTTGCAACTGGTCCTCGTGCTTAAAACTGTCACAGCGTCCCTGGGGAGACCCGGTCAAAATCTGAGCAGTTTGTAACTGGCAAGTATTTATGATTGTTGCAGCATCCTGGCGTCACCTTATCACCAGTTGTGGGGCTTCCGATAAGTGAAGTGAATGGGGGAAGCTGGATTCACTTAACAACCCCAGACTCGATTAACAACGGTAGCAAAAAAAGAGTGTAAATTGCGTCTCTTCAAAAATCTGCTTCTGGGGGTTAGATTCTAGTCCAGGGGTAGGCAACCTTGGCTCTTTTATGACTTGTGGACTTCAACTCCCAGAATTCCTGAGCCAGCCATGCTGAGGGGACAGGGAGAGGTTTCCATGCTGAGCGATGCTGGCTCAGGAATTCTGGGAGTTGAAGTCCACGAGTCATGAAAGAGCCAAGGTTGCCTACCCCTGGTTTGGTCTACACAGATAGCCTGCGACTTATCTCATAATTAAGCCCCAAATTTCTATCACTAAGCAAGACAGCAATTAAGTGAGCTTTGCTGTATTCTACGACCTTTCTTGACCCCGTTGTTCAGCGAATCACTGCAGTTGTTAAGTGACTAACACAGCTGATACTTGCTTAACCGCCATCTTGTTTAGCAACAGAAATTCTACTGTGGGGTTGTGGCAAAAAGGTCACAAAATTGGGCATGATCACGTGAGGACTTACTTAATGACTGCTCGCTTAGCGACAGACATTCTTTAATAATAATAAAGTTGGAAGGGACCTTGGAGTTCATCTAGTCCAACCCCTTGCTCAGGCAGGAAACCCTATATACCATTTCGGACAAATGGCTGTCCAGTCTCTTCTTAAAAACTTCCAGTGTTGGAGCATTCACCGCTTCTGGAGGCAGGTAGTTCCACTGGTTAATTGTTCTAACGGTCAGGAAGTTTCTCCTTAGTTCTAGTTTCTCTGATTCTAATTATTGTTGTAAGTCAAGGACCTCCTGAACAGTATTCTGCATTCCCCTTGGACCTGGTCTAACCAACGTATCGGACAGTCCACAATTGCTGATTTTAACAAAGTTGTGTTCTCCTTCCGCAAAGGATCTCTGAATCATGAACACAGAATAATAGAGCTGGAAGAGACCTTGGAGGTCTTCTAGTCCAACCCCCTACTTGAGCAGGAGACCCTGCTGTCCAGCCTCTTTCTGAAAGCTATTCTACTGGTTAATTATTCTGTCAGGAAGTTTCTCCTTAGTTCTAGGTTGCTTCTCTCCTTGATGAGCTTCCATCTGTTGCTTCTTGTCCTGCCTTCAGGGGCTTTGGAGAATAGATTGACCCTGTTTTTTATGGAAACCCCTCAAATATTGGAAGACTGCTATCATGTCATCCCTAGTCCTTCTTTTCTCTAGACTAGCCATACCCAATTCCTGCAGCTGTTCTTCGTACGTTTTAGCCTCCAGCCCCCTAATCATCTTTGTTGCTCTTCTCTGCACTCTTTCCAAAGTATCAACACCTTTTTTTAATATTGTGGTGACCAGAACTGGATGCAGTACTCCAGGTGCGGCCTTACTAAGGTTTTGTAAAGCGGTTCTTTTTCATGTGATCATGATTCTATCCTTCTGTTAATACAGGCCAGGATTGCATTGGCTTTTTGGGCTGCTATTGCACACGGTTGGCTCATATTTAATAATAATAATAATAAAATTGGAAGGGACCTTGGAGGTCCTCTTGTCCAACCCCCTGCTCAGGCAGGGGACCCTACACCATCTCAGACAAATGGCTGTCCAGTCTCTTCTTAAAAACTTCCAGTGTTGGAGCATTCACTGCTTCTGGTGGCTGGTTGTTCCACTGGTTAATTGTTCTCACTGTCAGGAAGTTTCTCCTTAGCAAGGGACCCCAATTAATTAAGCTTCCTTCCCTTGGGAGATGCCTTCAACCCTACTTCTTCCATCTCATAAAAAGGCTCCCGAAAGAGGTGGACGTGTCTGCGTGTAGGGGCGTTCACGGAGACCACACTTGCCACTTTTGTGAGTCACGGCGCTCCCTACCTCTCACGTATAGGTTGGCGGGCGAAGAATAGCGCACGCCGGCGCTGTTGCTGGCAACGCACTCATATTTACCCTGGTCCGTCTCCTCGCTGCTCTCGATCTGAAGGCCACCTGGCAGGAAAGAGAATAAGGCGAAAAGGAAAAAGGAGATGCCGAGAAATACGTTAATTATTGACTTAAGGGCAGATCGGGCAGAAAAAGGGAGAAACGGCTCAAATGTGCCGAACAAACCAATTATCACCGATAGCATATTTGGAGCTGTGGGGTCCTTGGTGCTCTCTGAGCTTGGTTGTTTTCTTGCAGACATCTCACGACCCAACTAGGTAACATCATCAGTGCTAAAAGGGAGTGTGGGGTTGGCTCTCTCTTTATATCCTTGCCCTGTCAGTGTTGGTGGGAGTGTGGTTTTCTCACTGGTAATTTCTTTATATATATAATTTATATATATATATAATTAGTTTTTATAACATTCTTCAGTATTTAGCAAACAGCATGTTGTCTGGATTCACGTGTTTAAAAAACAATCAGTGATAATTAGTTTCTGTATTTTCATAATCAATATGTTAGCTAATAATATATTTCTTAAATCTTCTCTTCACCCGATAGTCTTCTTCCTACTAATACATATTTAATATTACATAGTACATATTACGTTCCTTTCTCTCTGGCTCGTTTTTCTAGCCATTGATAAAAATTGTCCCATGTTCTAAAATATACCGAATCTTCTTTCTCTTTTATCTTCAATGTCAATCTGTCCATTTCTGCACAATCTAAAAAATTTTTAATTAATTCTTCCTCCGTGGGTAGATTTTCATTTTTCCAATATTGAGCAAATACTATTCTTGCTGCAGTTAATACAGGTGAAATTAAGTGTATACATTCTTTCTCATAGTTTCCTACTATTATGCCTAAGAAAAACAATTCTGGCTTAAAGTCTGCATGTTTTTTTAATCATTTTTCTCTAACCGTATGTGTATTTTTGATCAAAATCTTTTAGCTTTAGGGCACGTCCACCAGATATGATAGTAAGTATCTGGTTTTTGTTTACATTTCCAACACTTACTAGACAGTTTGGTAATTTCTTGATTAGGGTATTGTTTCCAGTTGGCTTGTCAGGTGTCAATCCCTGCTTATCCATGTATTGATTGCTATTGAGAAGGTGTTTTTTGTTTGCTTTTTAGTTTTTGTTTATTGTCCCTTTTGAACGATGTGTAAATAAATATAAACTTGAGAGCAAACCCCACTTTCCTATACCACTGATGATGTTCCCTAGTTGGGTCATGAAACGTCTGCAAGAGAACAGCCAAGCTCGGAGGGCTTAACCCTTCCCTGCAGTCCAATATACTTTTTTCAACCATTAGGCTGTACTTCCCTCTTCAGCCTCAAACAGCCACAACTATAACACACCTGACCACACCCCGAAGCAACAACCACTCCCCCTCCCCATGAACCAAACAGTGTTTGGGATGCTATACAGCTTTGGTTAAGAATGCAGCATTTTTCTCGCCGTCAATAAAATCAAAGTCATGTTTTCAACCTGGGCAATTTTAAGATGGGTGGACTTCAACTCCCAGAATTCCCCAGCCAGCTATGCCGCCTCCCTATCTTCGATGGCCTAGGGAGGGCCTCGTCTGAGTCGTTTGCATATTGACTGGGGTTTCTTTTATCTTCTTTTATCTTTTATCCGGGGGTCTTCAAATTTGGCAACTTTAAGACTTGTGGACTTCAACTCCCAGAATTCCTCAGCCAGCAAAGTTGGGAGTTAAAGTCCACAAGTCTTAAAGTTGCCGAGTTTGAAGACCCCTGCTCCTATTCCTCAAAGCCATTTCACCTGTCCTCTAGAGTTATGGAAAGTCCACCACCATAACACGAAGCCTCCAAAGTTCCTGGTCCTCAGGGTCTCACAACTCAAGGTTGACTGCCTCTATGCATGGAGGTTCAAGGTAGACTGCTCCTATCCATGGAGCAGAGTTACGGAAGCTCCATCACCAAACCCTTCAAAGAGTCTTCATCCTCAGCATCTCACAATCCAAGGTAGACTGCCCCTACGCATGGAGGCTCTTAATAAAACTACCTAGGAACAGCCCCAGTCTTCCAGTCTGGAAAGAAGCCGCAGAAATAACTTCAAGATTTGGTCTTTTGGACCATCCCAATTAAGACAGGGTTAATTTTCTGCTATTTAGCAAGAGAGCTAAATGAATTCTCCGTCTTCAGAGAGGGTCCACGAGAGATTCGTGGGGTATCAGTAAAAATTGGCTTCTGCATTTAAAAAAACAACAAACCCTTGTTTTATTTTGATTTTGTACATCTTTTGTATTTCCTTCTGTTTTTTTTTTTCTTCACACCAGAAAAATACCACTGCGATTTCATTAAAAAAAAATCCCACTTCTTATGTCCTGCACTTCTGGAGCTGTGTCAAATTAACACTTGTCATCTCGGTGGAAGGTGGAAAAAAATTATTCTTAGATACACACAATCACATACAAAACCCAGACATGTCTACACCCATCCAAACCTCCGAGAAACCAGCTTTTTAAACCCGCAGGACCATATATTGTGTATAAGTCAAGCATTTAAGACGTCTTCCACCCAGGGGTACCTCAGTCCATCCATCCAGGAGAAAAGAGAACATACCAAAAGGAACTCTGTGTGTGTGTGTGTGTGTGTGTGTGTGTGTGTGTGTGTGTGTGTACACAGACATATATGAGATTATATTATACGTGTGCTGGAAAATAAGTCAGAATTCAGAGGGAAGGAGAGGAAAAAAAAGGGACGGAATAGAAAACAGAGGAGATTCACATACGGCAGGAAAAGACATTTTCAGCAGTGACAAGGTAACACAGTTCCGGATTGGGAAAAGAAACCACAACAGGCCACACAACTACATGGAACAATAACCGGTTATAATCAAGAGGAAAAATACAGTGGTTTTTTTGTTTTGTAAAAGAAAGGGGCAATTGTGCTCGCCAGCACAAGCAATCTTACCTCGGATCGGAGTACCTTCTGTAAGAAAAAAAAGGACACAAAACAAAACAAAAAAAGAACAACAAACACAGAAGTGAAAAGCAAGTGGGGGAAAAATGGGATTATTATTATTATTATTTTTAATCGTCTTTCAGGACTAGCCAGTGGGAGGAAGGCACCCAGGAGTAAAATAAGTGGGTGATCAGTTTCTAAGGCTGCTTCTCCGAGGCACGATTTGGGGTGGGGGGGGACACAGAGAGGTAGTCCTCGACTTACAGCCGTTCATTTAGCGACCGTTCAAAGAACAGCACTGAAAAAAAGGCAACTTGCAGCTGGTTCTCGCACTTGAGACCGTCGCAGCACCCTCATGGTCACGTGACCCAAATTGGCGACTTTCCTAGTCGACTTCCGACAAGCAAAGTCAATGGGGGGGGAGCTGGGTTTGCTTAACGACCGCGTGATTCAGTTCACCTCAGCAGCGATTCACTTAACAACCGTGGCAAAGAAAGGTCGTAAAAATCAGACGCCGGTCACTTACAACAATCGCCTTGCTGAACAACGGAAGTTCTGTGGTTGATTGTGGCCGTAAATCGAGGACTACCTGCAGTTTGATTTGAGACGGGTTGAGGCCTATGTTTCCTTGGGTGAAGGGGGAACGAAGCTGGGTGAGAGGCTGCTTATCCCTGGAGTAAAATCTCCAAAGATTTTTTAATAATAATAATGATAATAATTTTGCCTCTTCCTTGTGTTGTTCTTTAGATGCCTCAGCTTAATAATAATTTCAGTTAAGATTTAAGATCAAGGCCTGTTTCAACCCAGATCTTTACTCAGACTCATGAGGACTAGAAACTTAGCGGATCTGCTTTGCCCCCCCCCCCCAAATAGCCTTTGCTTCTGCGAGCGCGCAGAGGAAAAAAATTAAGATTTTTTTTTTTTGAGATGTAGGAGAGCGTAATTTCCATCTTATTGTTACCCAGGAAACCTGCAGAGAAAAAAATCTTGTCCATTAGCAGAATCTAGAATATGGGTTGTCCTCGGCGTTACTAAGAGGACCATGTGGGAGGAAAAAAAATCTGACTTGGTGGAATTGGTGGAATTAGCCTTGCTAACTAGTACTTCCGTTTATTTTGAAAAGCTGGGACTGAGTCGCATGGCCTAGCTCAGGGGTAGGCAACCTTGGCGCTTTTATGACTAGTGGACTTCAATTCCCAGAATTCCTGAGCCAGCCATGCTGAGGGGAAAGGGAGAGGTTTCCAAGCTGAGCCATGCTGGCTCAGGAATTCTGGGAGTTGAAGTCCACGGGTCATGAAGGGGCCATAGTTCCCCCATGCTGGCTGAGGAATTCTGGGAGTTGAAGTCTGCAAGTCATGAAGGGGCCATAGTTCCCCCATGCTAGCTCAGGAATTCTGGGAGTTGTGAAGTTCACGAGTCATAAAGCAGTCTAGGCCTAGCCCAGGGGGCAGGCAACCTTGGCTCTTTTATGACTGGTGGACTTCAACTCCCAGAATTCCTGAGCCAGCCACGCTGAGGGGAAAGGGAGAGGTTTCCAAGCTGAGCCATGCTGGCTCAGGAATTCTGGGAGTTGAAGTCCACGATTCATAAAAGAGCCAAGGTTGCCTACCCCTGCCCTAGCTTGAAAAATACCGTGTTCCTGTACAAAGCCGTTTCTTGGTGAAGGGAGGCCCACTGCACATGGCCAGACACTCTGAATTATTTTTTCCTAACATGGCCCGGAATGCAATTAAACATGGTTCAGCCTTCTTGTCGGTGGGAAATTAAGTTCCGTAGCTTGGGAAACATCATCCTTGTCCTTTCTCCCACTGGCTTTCTAAGTTTTATCTCTCAGTATATTTGGCAAAGTTCTTGAGTTTTTTTTTTTTTTTTTACCCCAATCCTGAAAACAAAGCAAAGGATTTCACGGACATTTTTCTGGATCCAGGTTCCCTGGGCATCCCAGAGACTCTCCAATTTTTGACGGCCCATGCAAATATTTTTAAACATCCCCAGTGGTGTGACTTGCTGAAACTTAGGAATAATATCTGCAGAAGAAGCAAGGATAATACCAATTTTTCCCCCCTCCAGCCGTTTGTCCTCCAGCTATTCATTTTTTGGTTTTTCAGTTCCCCCTTCCATTCCTTTTTCTCTTCCCCTCCCCCTCTTTCCATGCTACCCCAAATGCACCATTTTCAGGATCTGGGATAAAAACGATGTGATTATTCTTTCTGATTAGTGGAGTGGAAAAAGGATTAGGTGGTTAAAGCTGGTTAAGGATCTAGTTAGATTTAGTTGCTAATTAAGGAAAAGGTTAAAAACATTATCTAAAGTTAGAGTTAGCATCTAGTTAAAACTACTGGTTAAGGTTAATCAAAGCAGCGCTTGTTAGCTTGTCGGAGGAAGGAGAGTAGGCAAGGAGGAGGGGAAGAGGTAAGGTTAATTTGGATTAGCTGCTGTGAAGGAGCAGCTGGGGGGGTTTAAAGAGCAAGGAAACAAGAGAGGAAGAAAGTAGATTTACTTGGGAGAAACAGGATGCCTTCTGAGAGAGAGAGAGAGAGAGAGAGAGAGAGAGAGAGAGAGAGAGAGAGAAAGAAAGAAAGAAAGAGGCAGGCAGACAGGCAAAAAGGAAGAGGGAAAGGAAAGAAGCAAGGAAAGAAAGAGAAAGGAAGGAAGGAGGGAGGGAAAAAAGAGGAAGGGCGGGTGGGTGGGAGGAAGCCAGAGAGAAAAGAAAGAAGGAGGAAGGAAGGAAACAGAAGGAAGGAAAGGAAGGAAACAGAAGGAAGGAAAAAGGAGGAAAGGAAGGTAGAAGAAAGGGAAATGAAGGAAGGAAGTGACAGAGGAAGGAAAGAGAGAGAGAGAAAGAAAGGAAGGTAGAAGAAAGGGAAATGAAGGAAGGAAGGGAGTGAGGAAAGAAAGAGAAAGAAAGAAAGAAAGAAAGAAAGAAAGAAAGAAAGAAAGAAAGAAAGAGGGAGGCAAAAAGGAAGAGCGAAAGGAAGGAAGCAAGGAGGAAGGGAAAGAAGAAAAGAAAAGAGGGTAGGCGGGAGGAAGTCAGAGAGAAAAGAAAGAAGGAGAAAGGAAGGAAACAGAAGGAAGGAAGGAAACAGAAGGAGAAAAGAGGAAATGAAGGTAGAAGAAAGGGAAATGAAGAAAGGAAGTGAGTGAGTGAGGAAGGAAAGGAAAGGAAAGGAAAGGAAAGAAAGAAAGAAAGAAAGAAAGAAAGAAAGAAAGAAAGAAAGAAAGAAAGAAAGAAAGAAAGAATTCAGAGTGGAAAAAATATCTGCCATCTGTGACTCAAATCTGGAATGGTTTAGCAAAAACGTAAGAGTTGACCGGAGCAAAGAATGGGATGTCAGCTGTTCCAAGTGAAGCTGCCTTTTGCAATTGACCTACGGGGATTTCGTCAATGCCGATGGTGTTCAAGGGGTGCTCCAGATGTTTTTGGGATCGCACCCAAGCCGCCTGTCACTTTTGGGACTACCTTTGCTTTTTTTAGTCTGATTATTGAGCTACCTTGACGAGGGCAACCAGGAGGGGAGAAAAGGGCACAGATGGCAGATCTTTCCTTTTCCTGTTGGGAATTTCACATCTAAAGAAGGTTTGGGTTTTTTTTCCAAAGTGGAAAAAAAAGTGGGGTGAGAAAAAAGCGGGTGATATTTCCTCAAACGTGTCTCTTAAAAGAGATCCGGCCAAAAATGTCCAGCAAGGTCCAATACACCGTTCTGAAGCAAGTGATCAAGGGCAGGGCTGAAACAGACTGGATCTTGGCCCAGATCAAAAATAAAGCGGCTTTTAATTCTCTTTTTCCCTTCACTGTAGCAAGTTTTCACTCCCGAGTAGGAGGCTGCAGGAAGATCGGAATAACAACAACAACAACAAAAAAACAACATCGGTGAAGCCAATAAAACTGGAATTTCCTACGAAGTGAGGCTGATGTAGGATAGCTTCCTGGGCAAAACCATATTTTCACTGAAGTGTTAAGAGGGGAGCGTGTTGCTGTTTTTCCAGGATCTGTACCGTGTAATCAATAGCAGAGACATTACCTGGTAGTCTCCCATCCCGAGACGAGGCAGGCCCCTGCTTGCCTCGTCAGTCATGAGGCAAAGCCCTCGAAAGGGTTCGACAAGAAAGTCTCTTCTCTGAGTCAAACTCGACTCATAATGGCATGTAGGTGGTTTCTATCAGCCCTGCGAGGTAGGACCGGGCAGGAGGCACAGATTGCAAGAATGCTGCTTTGTTAAAGTGGGGGTATGATGGCCGGATCTTAAAAAGCTATCTCAGTTTTCCTCTGTCCTTATACTAAAGTAAATCAAGGCACGGTTATCTTGAGTTTCTTTCTCAGCCTTCCTTCTATCTGGAGAGAGTATATCTAGGTCAGGGGTAGGCAACCTTGGCTCTTTTATGACTCGTGGACTTCAACTCCCAGAATTCCTGAGCCAGCCATGCTGAGGAGAAATGAAGAGGTCTCCATGCTGAGCCATGCTGGCTCAGGAATTCTGGGAGTTGAAGTCCACGAGTCATAAAAGAGCCAAGGTTGCCTACCCGATCTAGTGCTTGACTTACAACCACTTCTTCAAAGTTATACCAGCACGGAAGACAGTGACTTATGACCGGTCCTCGCAACCGTCGCAGCATCCCCACTGTCATATGATCAAAACCAGGCAGGTGGAAACTGGCATGTATTTATGACGGTTGCAGCGTCCCAGGGTCACAGTGACCCCCATTTGCGACCTTCCTTTCAACAAGCAACGCCAAGCCAGATTCACTTAACAACCTCATGATTCATTGAACAACCACAGCAATGTGTTCAACAACCGTGGCCCCCCCCCCCAAAAAAGCTGGCCAAATTGGGCAGGATATTTTTTTTTTTCAATTTCCTTGTCTTACTGGGCGCCCCTCCAGATAATAACCAAGCCTGACCCTGCTCAGCTTCCAAAACCCAGACAAGATCTTCCAGGTGCTGCCAACCTTCCCATTACTTTGCAATGGGAAATCAGCTGGAAGGTTCCCCCCAATTCCTCTCCTAACTCTAGGCTGTGTTTGCAAGGGATGCTGGGAGTCGAAGCCTATCTACAAAGCCAGCATGGTGTTTTCTAAATCTCCATCACTTCTGGCAAGGATGAGAGGAGGAAGGGGGGGACACGGGTGTCAAGGCCCTCTGCTTATGCTCAGAGACACAATCCTCCCTGCCTGGTCCTCCCAGGGACTAAAGGCCACCCTGAAATTACAGCTGGAGGAGCTGAGCATCTCCCCCCATCCCATGAAGCTCTTGCTGGGGAGGAAAAATGAGGAAGAGATCCTCAAAGTACATTTGTGAGCTGAGCGGAGGCTGCGTCTCCATGGCAACCAAAGGAAGACGGTCCATAGCATCTGCTGATGGAATTCCCTCCGGGAAACCGGAGTTGGATCGCTTTTCCTGTGGGTCCCTCTCCAAGTCACCTCCCTGGGGTACCTCCTGCAGCAACACTGGCTTCCAAGTAGGGGGTTTGCTCCAAACCACGATGCATTAAAAACATCAGAATATTTCATAAGAGTTTGACTAAAATGCAGCATCCTTGCGCTGAAAGCTTGCCGTGCCCCATTGTCGGGTTACTTCAATAAGTCGCTAGTCCTGACATTAAGAAAATGCTCCAAGGGATTGAAAATCCCCTAAAACAGGAAAAAGAAGGAGGGGGAGGAGGAGAAAAAAATGGAATTTCTCCATGGGAATTTTGCAAAGCCGTTTCTGCTTTTGCTTTGTCTTCTCGCTGCTTGCGAGGGGTTAAGTAGGGGCGAGCAAAATATTACCCGTTTAAAATGTCCCGTTTTGCATTTTTTTATAAAAATAATAATAATAATAATAATCTCCAGCTGCCTCCAAAAAATGAGAAAAGCAGGATAAATATTTTGCAGTACGTTCATGCCTTGGTAAAAATGAAATTTTAAAACATGGGGCTTGATCCTGGAGAGCTCTTTTCACGCCCCTTTCCTGCAAACCAATCCGAATTTTCCAAAAATCCTTGGCGCATTTCTCTTAGATGTGAAACTCCAAAACCTCAACTCCATTTGCAGAGGCAAAAGTAGAAAGAAGAAAGAAGAGAGAGCAATTTTAGGGACCAAGCTGTGAATTATTTGGGGAATTCCAGGTGAAAACTCTGCCTTTTGTTTCTGATTTTTTCCCATCTATCCAAATGTCAGAAAGTTTGTGGAAATGCAGGTAAGAAGTTCCAAGCTTTGGTTTGTGAAAATGGGGATAAAATTCGGGAGACTGATATTTTCGCAGCCTGCAATACCCCATTTCTGAGTTAGTTTCAACCCTACGGAAAGTAAGGCGTTAGTAATGGAGGGACATGCCTTTAAAGGGAAAAAAAATGCTATTAAGACAGAATTAGTTTAAGAGGTGGGAAGATACAGGACAGGGAAGATCTAGGCAGCAGCCCGTTAAGAGTTGTTAATTTTTACTTCTAAAAAAAGGATCGATCGATTTAAACAGAAACCAAACTTACCAAAAGTATCTGAAGGTAACAAAACGGAAAAGGAAACAGAAAAACAAAATACAAAGGAGACGGTTGTTATAAGCCAGTTACTTGAAAAGGAAAGTTAACAACAACAACAACAACAACAACAAAAAAGTACATAAAATACATACCACAGAATATACATAGAAACACAGATTGTATAATAACAGTTGAACTGTGCCCAACTTGGTGAGCGGAGAAGAGTTTCCAAGGCACACTTTATACTTCGGGGGAAAAAACATCAGAATTTGAAACCAGACCTTCTTAGGCACACATGGAACAGTTGCTTTGAGTTCGAAACAGGTTTTCTAACCATTGGGGCTGAATTTGAACTCCCAGCCCTGCCAGCAGGGCTGAAGTGAGCCGTTCGAGGTTTATTTCAAACTCAAAAACTGGTTGGCTTTAAACCAAAAGCGAATTCAAAATGGTTTGACATCCTCTGTTCATTCTGTAGGAAGAGTTTCCCAACCTTGGTGACTTTTAAGATGCTTGGACTTCAACTCCCAGAATTCTCCAGCCAACATGGCTGGCAGGGGGGACTTCTGGGAGTCGAAGTCAGAGTTGACAACATTGGGAAACCATATTGTAGGAGGTAAATCGTAGAGACTAAGTACTCATGGAGACTCACAACATCCTCCAATAATGAATATTTGGGCCTCATGTGACAATTTTGTTATGGAAATGTACGTTTTTTTTCCCCCACTCCTCCCCTCCGTGCTAATGGTTACCCCCGGCACAATTTCCCAAGGGATAAATTGATGAGATGCAAAATATTCTCTAATTAATAGCTTCCTGTCTCTTGTTCTCGTCTTCCTTATGAAGAATAAAATCTTGAAAGCGACCCATCAAAACAGCAGGGAGAAATCACTGCGTTCAGCAACGCAGTCACGGAACCACATTTTTTTAAAGGCAAAAGCTAGGAAAAATGCAGGTAGTCCTCCACTTCCGACTATTCATTTAGGGACAGTTTGAAGTTACAGAGGCATTGAAAAAAGTGACTTAGGAAACCCTTGCAACATTCCTACGGCAAAGTGATCCAAATCCAGGCTGCTGGCAACTGGCTCATATTTAATGATGGTCACAGTGTCCCGGGGTCACGTGATCCCCTTTTGCGTCCTTCTTCCAAACAGAGTCAATGGGGGAAGCCAGATTCACTTAACAACCGTGTTACTAACTTAACAACTGCAGTGATCCATTTAAGAACTGTGGCAAGAAATGTCGTAAAATGGGGCAAAACTCACTTAGCAACTGTCTCACTTAGAAACAGAAATGTTGGGCTCAATGGTGGTTGTAAGTTGAGGACTACCTGTTCTTAGTTGTATTATACATACAATATATATATATTATTTAGAACTATTACAATAGTTCTAAATTTTTTTTAAAAAGTAATGATGATGATGATGATGATAATAATAATAATAATAATAATAATAATAATAATAATAAGTCGATAAGAAAGACAAAAAAGTCTGGATAGTGGACGTGGCAGTGCCTGGAGACAGCAGAATAGAAGAGAAAGAACTGGAGAAGATAACAAAATACAAAGACCTACAAATAGAAATAGAAAGACTGTGGCAAAAGCAAGCAAGGGTAGTACCAATAGTCATAGGCTCCTTGGTGCAATCCCAAAACAACTGGAGCACCACTTGAACACCATTGGCATTGACAAATTCGCTATTAGTCAATTGCAAAAGGCGGCCTTATTAGGAACTGCTTCCATCCTGCGACGATATCTGTAATACCATCAGACATCCACATCTGCCTATCCCAGGTCCTGGGTAAGGACTCGATAGGTAGACAAAATGCCAAATCCAGTCTGAACATCTGGCTGACTGTGCGATGATCCATAATAATAATAATAAAAGTTGGAAGGGACCTTGGAGGCCATCTAGTCCAACCCCCTGTTCAGGCAGGAAACCCTACACCATTTCAGACAAATGGCTGTCCAGTCTCTTCTTAAAAACTTCCAGTGTTGGAGCATTCACTGCTTCTGGAGGCAGGTTGTTCCACTGGTTAATTGTTCTCACTGTCAGGAAGTTTCTCCTTAGTTCTAGGTTGCTTCTCTCCTTGATCAGTTTCCACCCGTTGCTTCTTGTCCTGCCTTCAGGAGCTTTGGAGAATAGCTTGACTCCCTCTTCTTTGGGGCAGCCCCTGAGATATTGGAACGCTGCTATCATGTCCCCACTCGTCCTTCTCTTCGTTAAACTAGACATACCCAATTCCAGCAATTTCCCAGTGCAAAGTTTGGTCTCTGTCAGCTTATGAAAGACATTAACTCCTGCCATTCACCCTTAGAACATAGAATCATAAGGCTGGGAGGTCTTCTAGTCCACCTCCTGCTCAAGGCAGGAGACTTTATGCCATCGCAGTCAAATGTTCTTCAGTCTGTTCTTGCAAATCTCCAGTGATGGACCACCCACAACTTCTGGAGGCAAGCTGCTCCACTGATTAATTGTTCCCACCTTCAGGAAATTTCTTCTTTTACCTTGCAACTACCTTAAGCAACCATATTTAAACAACATTAGTCTGCTTAAAAGCAAAAGACTTTAAAAATCAAGCTCCTAGTGATTTCATGGGCATTTGAAATTTTGGTCACCATCACATGTAAAAAAGATGTTGAGACTCTAGCAAGAGTTCAGAGAAGAGCAACAAATATGATCAGGGGACTGGAGGCTAAAACGTACAAGGAACGGCTGCTGGAATTGGGTATGTCTAATTTAATAAAGAAAAGGACGTGTGTGTGTGTCTGTGTGTGTGTGTATGTGTGTGTCTGTGTGTGTGTGTCTGTGTGACATGATAGCAGGATTCCAATATCTCAGGGGCTGCCCCAAAGAAGAGGGAGTCAAGCTATTTTCCAAAGCATCTAAAGGCAGGAGACGAAGCAACGGATGGAAACTAATCAAGGAGAGAAGCAACCTGGAACTAAGGAGAAACTTCCTGACAATTAGAACAATTAATCAGTAGAACAACCTGCCTCCAGAAGCTGTGAATGCTCCAACACTGGAAGTTTTTAAGAAGAGACTGGACAGCCATTTGTCTGAAATGGTATAGGTTTTCCTGCCTGAGCAGGGGGTTGGACTCGATGATCTCCAAGGTCCCTTCCAACTCTATTATTATTATTATTATTATTATTATTATTATTATTATTATTATTATTATTGTTATTATTGTTATTATTATTGTTATTATTATTGTTATTATTATTACATCATCATATTGTTATTGTTGTTATTACATCCAGGTTGATTCTGTGGCAACAACAGAGGGAGGCTGGCCATGCTGGTGGTCTCTCATCCCAGGACCACCAACCCTGATCTGACTTGGCTTTGAACTGAAGACAATCTTAAGCTGGGATTTCCCCCTGCTGACCCTTCATGTGTTTATCACCTGTGGTCCTTGGCTTATTACCTCCAACATCAGCCCTTGCAACATAGAGACCTCAGATTTACATTGAAACACTGTTTTTTTTTTCTAACTGAGCAACATCTAACACAGGGGTGGGCAACTATGGCCCCTTTAAGACCTGTAGACTTCAACTCCCGGAATTCCTAAGCCAGCTAAGAATTCTGGGAATTGAAGTCCACAGGTTATAAAGGGACATAGTTGCTCATTCCTGGTCTAAACGGTTTACAGCAGACTATATGCATGCCTTCCAAATATACAGGTAGTCCTCAACTTACGACTATTAACAAAACCTGCCCATTACGGGCAGGTCACCCACATGAACGACCCAATGTTATGATCTTTTTTGCTGCGGTCATTAAGCGAACACTGCAGCCATAAAGTGAATGCCATAGTCGTAAAGCAAATGTCGCAGTCACAAAGCGAATCCATTGTTCAGTGTGGGGATTTATTTATTTATTGCCAAAAATGCCAGTTTGGGGCAAAAACATCACAAAATGTGGCGATGTGACTGTACATGGAGTTGCTGAGCTCTTGACATGCGGCCACGTGACCTGGGGAGTGTTTGAATGGCCATAGGAACTTTAGAACCAGGTTGCAATTAGCTTTGGTGGGTCTGTCGTAACTTTAAAGGGTCACTAAGTGACTGGTCGAGGACTAACAGTATGGGGCTAAAATTCCTGAAGTTTGAAGTGAGCATTCCAGCCACAAACTAAGAGAAATATCCCTTTGCATCTGGAATCTTTTTCCAAGCTAACCATCATTAGGTTAGATAACTAACAATCTGACTTCGTCTCTTCCTACATCATCTTTAGTGAAGTGTGCAAACCAATGTTTACATTTCTTGTGTTGGATGAGGGGAGCACCTCTTTCTCCTGCTGTCCTGGCCACTTTTGACAGATATCACTGTCTGGTTTGGTGGCAGCAGAGCCTCACATAGAAAGTCCACACAGAGAGTGGTGAGGACAGCTGAGTAGATTATAGGAAGCTCGCTTCCCATGATTCAGAATGGAAGGTCCACACAGAGTGGTAAGAACAGCTGAGAAGGTTATAGGAAGCTCGCTTCCCATGATTCAGGATGGAAAGTCCACACAGAGAGTGGTGAGGATGGCTGAGAAGATTATAAGAAGCTCACTTTCCATGATTCAGGATGGAAGGTCCATATAGAGAGTGGTAAGGACAGCTGAGAAGGTAATAGGAAGTTCGCTTCCCGTGATTCAGGATGCTGCTTATAAGCACTTACATGTGCTTAGAGCACATATGTGGGTATATGCATAGTGGTATTTATTTTTTGAGAGCTGAATGCACCAACATTTCATTTTAATATACGCTGATTAGTGTATATTTAAGTGACAATAAAGATTCTACTCTATTCTATTCTATTTATTTCTTATTCTATTCTATTCATTTCTTATTCTGTTCTATTCTATTCTATTCATTTCTTATTCTATTCTATTCATTTCTTATTCTATTCTATTCTTATACGATATTATTATATAGTATACTATATAATATATACTATATAAAAGTATATATACTATATAAAATTTTAGATTGTGCAGAAATGGACAGACTGACGCTGAAAACAAAAGAGA